AGCCCCAGGGGAGATGGAGATGGTGTTTCCACAAGCGATTAGTGGGCTGTCCGTCCACACAGCGGTCACCGACACCACGCCACCGTATCGTCTTAGGTAACGTGTGTGCTGGACCACTCTATAAGGCGAGCTGCATTAACGCCCCTCTGCGCGCGCGCGCGTGTGTGCGTGCGTGCGTGTGTGTTTCCTTTGCCATGTAGTTCTCTTTCTTTGCGTAATGGTCATTCCCGGGGGATTGTGATTAACCAGCTTTTACGATCATAGGCTCTTCACACCACACACATTCCTGCGCCCAACTATTTAGTTTTCCTTTAGAGGCTGTGTTTACGAGCAGTGTAGTGCTGGCGCCCGTCTTGGCGAGCTGGGCGAGCTCTTCGCAGAAAGGTGGCTGCAGCACCCCATCATCGGCCCCTGCCTCCCCCGCCGTGCCCCCGTGTCACCCGACACTGCCCCAAGCGACTCTCCGCTGGTGCCGTGCATACATGTGAGGGTCTGTCTGTCTGTCTGTCTGTCTGACCTGCCTGTCTGTCTGTCTGCCTCGACCACACGGGAGCCGGCAAGTTTACGCGCCGAGTTTAGTGCTGCCGGAGCTGTATGGGCGACGATCCACGCTGAGTGGCTGGCCTGGTCAGGTTGTGAACTACTTTGGTCTGTTCGTAGGGGTGGGTCGGGTTGCCCATCATCCTTCTGCTTGAAAATGTTCAATTCTACTACTTACGTTATGTGCGGGTCTGTACCGGGTCTATAGTTCCGCCAAGTGCTGACTGCGCCCTCCCCCTCCTCGCCCCCTCCCCACCACCCCTTCCGTTCGTACGCTCGCCGCGCCCAGGTAGGTAGGCATCACCTCAGTTGTTTGCTGTTTACCTTGGAGTGTGCCGCTCTGTTACGAGGCGTAGAGCTCGAATCGGGTATGTGTGTCTGCGTATGTGTGTTTTGTCTGTCCTGCAGAGTGAGCGCCTCTCTCTTGAGCCGAGTAGCGTTCACGATCACAAACACGAAATGCTGCTTCGTTTCGGCTACTTTACACAAAGTGCCCCCCTCCCCCACACTGAAAACTCAACAGTGGAAACGTGTGCATGCCATGCACAGCATACCTTATATAACGTGTGCAATGCACACTTGAGTTTTCAGTGCACACAAAACACACACCTACCACCCATCCATCCATCCATCCAATATGACTCATGCGCGCTATGGCGGCGCCTGGCGGAGCCATTTCCGCGTCAACCAATTGTGATACGGTTGTGCGGTTATTGGGTCTCTCGAGAGTGACTCGCTCCTCGCCGAGGTGTCGATCATTTCCCATCTCGCTCCAATAACGCCAGGTGGCAGCAGACTCCACTCCGTCACTGCTACGCCCCCCCCCCTCACCACCACCACCACCTTTCCCCTCTCCCCCATCTCCCCTTCGATCTGTCTCGCTCGGCCCCACCAGGGAAAGGGGTTAATTACTTGAACCCATTCCTCTGCACGTCGAACGGGGCGCAGAGAGAGAGAGAGAGAGAGAAAGACGATAAGCTTTCTGCCTCAATCCGTCCGCCAGCTGCAGCAGCTAAAACACATTGTTTCACGAGTTTGTTCCGCAACTCGTTTCGATTCGATGCGTGTTTTGTTTCTCCATTTTGTTCAAGAGGAAATTGTTCTGTCTTGTTTAGCATTTAGACCTCTACCCCGCAGTGTAATGAGGGAAGAGGAAGAGTTCGGCACGACTCCTTTCCATTTCCAGTCCCATTTCGTCGATATGGTCGATGCCCCTGGCCCGGTTTTAAATTCCCAAGTCGCTTCTTGATCGATCAAGAAGCGACTTGGGGCGTGACTTCAAAAGCGCTCACTCCAAACTTAAAATCAATAATTTAGAGTGATTTTTAAGAATCTCATTCAATAAGAGCAAGATCTTTCCCGATTATTATCATTTAAATAGAGTCAATGGGTCAGGGCGGGGTTTGGGGCAAAATCTCGTTCATAATCTTGGAAAAGGGAAATCCTTACCCTTTGCATTTGATGTGATTTGTGCTGTCCCAAGCAAATGATGTGCACGAAATCACGCACTTTCTTCAGATAAAATTTGCCCCTTCCCATTTGGTGTGCATTTTTGTGAATGGGTTCTGTGAGCAAAACATCCGCTGGTGGATGATCCCCCAGTGATCCCGCACCAACCGCGGTGGAGTCAATATAAAAGATTTCCGCCGTTCCTCGTTCCTTTCTGCTGCCCGTCCTCTTACTTATTCCTTTCTTATATTTTTTTCTTTCGAAATGTCGTCTTCCCAATCAAAAGGTCCCGGCCACACACTCTTTGAGGGTGTATTGATGGGGATGAGAGAGAGCGAGAGAGTTCTCGAAAGAACGAGGAAAATAAGTAAGAGAGGGAGAAAAAAAGAAGAGAAACGGATGAAGGCGTCGCAGAGGAGATGATTTGAATTCCGTCTCTAAATGAATTAACGGTGGCCCTCGCGCCCTCGCGCCCTCACCCACTCCACTACCCCCCACCGCTCTTTCTTTCCCTCCCACCTCACTCACCCCATCTATCTCTCTTCAGTATAATTATTCCTGCCCTGTTTGCATGGCTGACGGATGACTGTTTCGTTTGATTCCAGGTAAGCCTCACTAGCGTGGCTCTCCCTCGTTCGAACAAGGTAAGTGGTGGGGCGGTGGCCAGTCAGTGGCCTCGCGGCCCCACCAACGCCACCACCACCCAACCGGGAGCGCGGATCGGAGCGGAATAGAGGGTGCGCTGCAGTGGAATCAGGTTTGGAGTGCATAGTATGATGGGGCTTTATGGTTTTGTGCTTCTTTTGTTTTTCCCTGTTTTGCGCTCGCTTTTGCGCCTTGTTTGCTTTCGCATTGAGCATAGCGGCGATGCCCTTCAGCTTCGCCGGGCGGCAGCAGCGCAGAGGAAAAAGCCAGCATTTCCACGTCAGATTTTGAATCAAGTTATGCCATTGGAACTTATTTGCGTTCCAACAAACTCTCCGCTTCTCGCCCTTTGAAGTCGCGCCGGCAACAGTTCAGGAGGAATTTTCATATCGCCCGGCTCGGCGTGTCGACCTGGCCGCCAAGCCCCGCCACGCCGGCCCCGCCACGCCCCGCCACGCCCCTCAAGACAGAGTATTTCTGAGTTTTGGCCGTCCTTGGAGGGAGCCGAATGGCAAGGCGACCCAACACGGCCTCCCAAGTAGCGGCTAAATGAGGACCGGGTGGAGCGGAGCCGAGCCTCCCAGGGATCATCGGCTCCAGTTTCCAATGAGAAAACAGAGAATCCGCGCCGAGTCGTGTCGTGTCGCGTCACCTCGGCGTCGAGTCAACGTCGTCCTCACCATCACCTTCGGCATCCCCTTCTCTCCACCTCCGCTCGTCAGCCGCGGGGGGTACAGTCGTGGTGCCAGCAGCAGGTTGAAGTGGAGATGCGGGCTTTGGGCGTGAGGCGTATTGGAAAGTGAATGACGCGTACGTGAGGCTGACGAGGCATCGCTGCCGCCCCCAAAGCCGCCCCCGCGCCGCGGAGACCACCGGAACAGCCACTTCCCTCGCCATCACGGCCCTGTGGCAGGCGCGCCGCCATCGCGCCAACCCGCTCATGTGAGAAATCTGGAGTGAGAGGGCAATAACTTGGTTACGATAAGGGTAATGGTGATTGCGATAACAAGGTCGCCCCTGAGTGGACCATAAGATCGTTCGCCAGAGCTTCCTCTTATTCTTCTTCTGCTCGCATAACAAGCCATGGGAAGAACCGGCGCTGGCTGGCTCATGGTCTGCTCCGGATCATTTGGAGGAGGGGGGAGAGTGCTGCCTGCTGACTCCGTTTACCGCCTGACTGTGGCTCCAGTTCGCTATGAACAAGCAGTCGTAAGCCCTCATTGAAGTTGAAATCCCAGACTGAATCTGTTTTGTCCCTGAGACTCCGTGCGTTCCGTATGTTCCAAATATGATGTTCATGATGTCCGCCTTTTTCTTACCCCTAAACCGTTTGGTCTTCATATTAATACCCTTATCGGTCACTTGATTTTTTCAACAACATTGTGTTGTGCATGATAACTAAGCGCAATGTTTGTCGGTAAATGAAGCACGATCGGGGAAATCCAGATAACAACGTTTTTGGCTGCTCGTGGGGGTGAATTTCGCGCTGATCGGGCTAGGGGAAAGGGGGGGGGGGGAATCCGATGATAGAGAGAGACAAAGACAGATGGATAGACAGACATGCTAGAGAGGGATAGACGAGTGCGAGTGTGATACGCTTGCTCTGGTCGCTTGTCTCGCCGCGTCACGCCCCCTCCCCGCTCGACCTCACCGCGCACCTGTGAAGTGGCTTTTCGCGTTGTGCATAATGGCAGGCCAGGCGAGATGGAAGGGAGAGAGGAGCGACGCGGGGGTGGCGGGCTGGAATGGGAGGCGAAAAGTCAGAAATCGAGTCAATGAGCAGCATTGCTCCGCGCACCATCGTATTTTTTCGCGAGCAGCGAGACGGCAGGCAGCGCCACCGCCCGACTCTGCTCTGTGTCTGCTTCACCTGTTTCCTCGCTCCCTTTTGCCTCCATCTCCTCCCCACCCCCGCCCCCCGCATTACGTCACTGGTTGTCGCTGCGCCGCTCATTTCAAATGCCGGCATGATGACAAACTTTTACGCGCTTCTTTTGAAATTGCATGCTTTCTGTCATGTTGTTGTTTGTTTGTTCTGCAACGTGGAAGAGGAAAAGCAGTCCATGTCGTCGTAACAGTTTTGTCTGCCTCTGTTTGCTTCTGCAGTTTCGTTTGTGCGGGTGCTCTGAAAATCCAAGTGTACGAATGTCGCTCACCTGCGGGTGTGCGTGTGACTTTCGATCCCTGGTATTTCGAGCGTGCGCCCGATGTGACCGTGTTGGATCCCGATCCCGTCGCGATCCCACATTATCATGACCATTGCAGCACGCGTTCTCCCGCCAGCGCCTCCAGCGGCCCCCCTCCCCCCCGCGCTCTGCTCCGCGCTCCGCCCGGCCCGTCCGCCCGCTCAGTCGCGTTCCGTTCCCCGCTGGGTGTGGACGCGCCGCCGCGTAGCGCCGCCGAGCCGAGCCGAGAGCCGAGCCGAGAGCCGAGCGAGCACGCTCTCGCCGCCGCACCGCGCCGCTCGGGCCGGCCGCGCTGTCGAGGAACACACAATAAAAGAAACCATCGGGAACATTGTCACCTTTGAGGTGCAGCACTGCTTGTGCTGAACTGTTGTTGTTGTTGTTCCAGACGATTTTGTGAAGTGTGATTGGTGGTTGTCCCCCAGTGAGTGAGTGCGCCGTGTGCTTGTCGGATACGCCCCTGATAGCCATGCACTGTGGGATGCAGTAGCGGCCGACAGGTAAGCAGGTGCGGGCGGCCCGCCCAGAGCGGCGCGTGACCGCGTGACGCGTTGGTGACACGTTTGTTACGCGTTCGTGACACTTCCCCCGACGCCGTCGCGGCAAATTGAGGCGCGCCGTCAAACTTTGAGCGCGAAAGCGTCGAAGCGGACGCTTTAATGTGGCGCCGGCGGCGGCAGGGGTGGCGTCGCGACGCGCGCGCGATGTTGTGTGTGTGTGTGTGTGCGTGTGACGAGCGGTTATGGCGCTGGAGTAAAGCGAGCAGGAGCTTGGGCTGCCACGATGCTGGTAATTCCCTGCTTTTGACAGAGGTTGGCTGCCGCCCGCGTCACTACCGGGAAGTTGCGCTGTGCTGCTTTACAGCGTAAAGCTGCGTAAGTTTTTGTTGAACGCCTTACTTCCTGGCTCTGAGAAATAGTCGTCAGCTGAACTTTTGACAGCGTTTTGCTAAACCTCCTGCTGCTAGGCGCCCACACACACACACACCTACACACACACACGAGCGCGCGCGCGCATGCAACATAACCGTGATGAAAGCTGGCTGGGGGCTCTGTGTGTATTATGGGGAAACGCACGCACTCGCCGGGCGAAAAGACGCTGCTCGCGGAGGGCTGCAGAACTGGTAAAGAGCAGCATTTGCAGTTTATACCTATAAAATGAAGTTATGTTTGAACACGGTCGTGCTTGACAGAAATGCAGTCGACGTTTCGCCCTTCCCGTCAGAGGCAAATTCAGTTGGCGTCGGGTCGGACGATTTGTCACCTGTCAGCGGCAGCACACACTCTACGTCCGCGGGACGGTTCAATCGGAAGGCTGTGGATTATAATGTAGCTCAGTGAGACGCATCCAGGCGGATCATCTGATCCGCTGCTTAACTCCGCTTAACTCTGCTTAACTGTGAAATGCTTTCAAACTAAATTCTTTGCAATCTTGGGAAGAATTTCTGATCATTGAATTGCAAAGAATTAGTTCGTGTGTCATGAAAAAAATCTTGGAAGCTATGCCAAAATCGCTGCAAACAATTTGTGCGGATTGCAAATAAATATAACCTCGCAAGCTTGCAAACTTTTTCGACGAAACCTTGTGCCACACGAAAAATTTCCATTTGTCTAGGCAACACTCCATTTAAGCTGCACCTGTTACACTTTACAGTTCACAGTGTCTGTGTGCAGCGAGCTATGCGCGTCTGCGTGTGTGCGTATTTGTGAGAAACCCGGAGGATTGGGTGAGGGGAGGGAGGGGGGGGGAGCAAACCGACTTTGACAAATGAAATACGAGTTGAGGTCGGACAGGTGTCCCTTTTGCTGCCTTCCCTCGACTGAGTCAAACCGGGGCGTGTCGAGCCCAAGCCTTCGTGTCGGCGTCGGCTTCCGTGGGGTCACACCGGAAAGAAATGATGTAAAAAATGTTCTCCAACAAAATTTTTGTGGAGAGGCTAGGGGTAGGACGGCGTTAAAGAGCGACATTTTCATTGTGTTTTTGTTTTTCTTCCTTTTTTCTCATTCTCTTAAAAACAAAAATTCTCCTGTGCACTATTGATACCTTATCGCCATTTTCCACCCCCGAACAAAATGTAAAGAGGCTAAAACTCAATCAATTTTATTTTTTCTGAACTTTTGCAATACCTTTTACTGTCATATGTTGCAAGTACATTAGAGAGGGGGTGGGGGGGGG